GATCACGCGGTCCCCATCCTGGAAGGCGAGTAGCACCGACAGCACCTAAGCGTTTCGTGATCTCCTTCATACTCCTCTGCCAGGTCATGGGTTGGCCATCTCTCTGTTTACGCCACTCCGAATTGGGCATGGAAAACAGTACTCTTCGGCAAACGATGGCATGCGTGAATTACGAACATTCTTTCTATTAATCGGGCAAGACTTGACCACAAACGTCATGAGATCTGAATTTTATGGCAGGCAAGGCCATGAAGTACGCCCTCTGTCTTCATTCCGCCTTCTACTACAGGATTTTACAACAAGTTGCGTTGTGTGGCGTTGTCCCGGAATACACACGCACGCTGTGTGTGTCCCGATCCTTCGAACATACATTATTTTCTTCACCCTAACTTGCAAATTACCGAAATGAGATATAATGACATACAGCTGATTCAAGGTGTACCATACTGGAGAACCATTTCTTTTCTTCCGGATAATTTTGTGCTCGTCATCCAAAAGAATCAGTCGTTCATAACCTTCATAATTTTTATCGCCAATTCCATAGAAACATTCGAGTCCATGTTTTGATCTTCGTGTAATGTTGTTATTGCAGTTCCATATCGGTGTAGGAAACAGTAGGGTATTTACTCGTCCGGAAAAGAATTTTCCGATAGAACTCCTGATCCGTCACGCATGCACGGCATGTGTGGATCAGACTGCTGCTTTTAAGTAGCGGCTTCATTTTGTAATGTACTGCCCTATAAATGGCGAGAAATTCGAAAGATCAAGATGCCATCATAAGCAGTGCCCCCTACTTCTGCAACGGTGGTTACTACTGATGAAGCATGCGAGTAGTCCTGTGCTGGTGTCCAAGCTACCCCATTTGTGCAAAGTCAATGAATATCCAGGAAAGTTCAAGAAGACGGGTCAGAATGCCCGATTTTTTAAAGAGTATGTGCATATGAGATGTTTACTTTCCTGTCTAATGACTTGTAACTGCTTAGTTCGTGTTTGTTAATAAATGGCTTTGCAACAACCATTTTCCTCCTTCCACTGGTATCACTTTTGCCAACAACGCATCATCTAATTGGGGTCGAATTTTCGTTTGAGCAAAGTTTTCCTCCGACGAACGGTGTAGAAATGAGGCCTCCCTAATGGATAAAGTCAACAGTGTTTAAGTGATAAATGCAGATGATCGCGAATTCATCCTTTGAGTTAGTCTGTGTCGACAAGCGGAGAAGAACTGTACAGCTGTCCTTATTGTGAATTATCAGCCGTGCTCATCTCACAAAACTCCACGTAGGTTCCAACCTGTAACTTCATAGCTTATGTTTGAAAACCGAACCGTTCGACTGCGAGCGGCTGTTTATTAGTGTGGTCACCTTGTATTTGGGCAGCATACAGAGCCATCCGTCCTTCACTTACGGAATTCATATAAAATAGTCACGTTTTGACTGACTTCTCGAGTGATGACTTCAACTGGAAGGCCCACACGAATTGTGAGTTACACTTCCCTGTAAGCTGGTCATTTGAGGAGATTCAGAGCTTTACAAATGAGCTTTCGTCCTATGCGTGAAACCAGTCTGTCAACAAGTATTCTACAGCTGTTTGACCTTTTTTGCGAATCAACACTGCGCATCTTCACCACCAGAGAGGCACACAGTGCTGGTGATTCCCAATAAGAACTAATCAAATGTAAAGTGCTGTACGGCGAAACGGTCAGTTGGTTTTGTTTGTTGGACTGCTCGCACGTCATCACCATAAAACGGTTAGGCACATTTGAATTTGGGAGACCCATTCCTGGGTCAATGAAGGCGAGTAGCATGCAACACATGTTGCTTGTCTAGGAACCACTAGGGGTGCAATCCAAAATAAGGATGGTCCCCGTATGACATGCCAATTTTCATTTCATTAGTTTCGAAGGGTAAAGCACAGTGATCGAAACCCAGTGAAGAATACCTTGCCACAGAAATAATAATTAATCATTCAGTATTAACACCAATTCGGTGCCTAGCTGGCGTGCCCCCCGAGGGAGGCACACGGGCTGAGATACTGCCAACTTACCCAAGCCCAGTTGTCGAGTCTCAACCACGGGCCGTCTCGTGATTAAGTTCACGCCTCAAACATTGAACTATTTCGAGCTCATTCTACTTCATACATTAGAAGAATTAATGTTTCAACCGAACCTAACAATATTAATCACTCAGCAGTTCAAACGTCACCAAGTAACATCAAGTGTTATGATCATAAGTTGTGTAGCTAGATAGACCAAAAACCACTTCCTAACTGACGTTCGTCCCGGGCCACATGCGGATCCGGATTTCGCGCTTGTTCGCTGTTGACTTTTGTTGCGCTACACCTAACACTACACTTTAAACCTCATCATCATCATCATCATCATCATCATCATCATCATCATCATCATCATCATCATCATCATCATCATCATCTCTATGATAACAACAGTCAACTTTAATGAGTCGTTGGCTTTTACCCATGATTTATTGGAAAGACTCACTTTGAAGAAAATAAAAGCAGAGGGAGATGGGGTTTGATGCGAGCGTTATAATTATTTTCAGACACTGATTCTGCCTACCAACACTACACTGAGCACACGACACTGATTTGCCTACCAACACTACACTGAGCACACTCTCCATTCTCACATACGTCACAAATATTCATTAAAAAATGACTTTATTTTTAAGGCCTACGATGGTGGTTCAGGAGACCAGTGGGAGCCCGGTTGTGGCAGTTTTCGCTGGCATTCACAGTTTACAGAAAAATTACTCAAATGCAAGTCGCGACCTCGTCATCAAAGGATGGCGTACGACGAATTTATTAACAGTATGTACACCACTCCTACGTGAAACTTTTCTGAAAAATTCTTGCGTTGCTGAAGCCATTGATAACTACAAAATAAGAGCAATCCCGCTAAAGTGTCTGGGGCAAACAGAAGTGAGAACCAGTGACCTGAGTTCCGAAGTCATTCTCAGCAGTCATTCCAAACAGTTCTTGGCGCACAAACGATATCGCCTGACCATTAAACTGACGCGAGCCCTTCTTTGAAAATGTGTTCCTTCCCACATTTTGAGGCACGCCCTTAATTTAACTGTCCATATGTCTTGCGAACGCGACTGATAGAAGCAATAAAACGGACAAAATTGCACAACCTGCGTCCCATCAGGATACCAACGAATTATGTGCGCAGTAATCCCCCGGATAGAGGCCATCGAAATCCCATGGAATTTCCACTCATAAACCAAGAACGAATGCATCATACAGCTGTATACAGCGCAACACACTCACTATGTTGATTCGACAAGGAGCACACGGATGGAAAACGGTTCCTAGAATAATTTGTGGGAAACTCACTCAAAACGCAGCTGCAATACGTTGCACAGATGTAACACACTACTCACGATGCTGTTGAAAACACTTCGACAGCCCACGAGCGGCTTCGCCCTCCTTGAGGCTGATCGGGTAGGCGCGAACCCCGAGTTCCCGTAAACCTTATGGTCGCGAACTGTCGCAGAGTTTTCAGCAACTTTGTTAACAGTGTGTTGCTTCTGTGAAATTTCTAGAGGTTTTTTTTAGCCCTTGTTTGTTAACAGCATTGGACGATAAAACTTTATGCGGTCACTGATACATCTGTTGTGGCGTGGCTAACGAAGCTGTATTTTGAGCTTCTCCGGAAAATTTATTATACTGTCCCACAGTCGTACACTAAAATCACTCATCTGACGCAAAATTTTCTGATGTCTCGCTGGCGAACGGTAACATAATTAAGTATATAAAGTGCCCACTGCATCGGTATGTCTGCGGAGGCTGTTCGACTTGAAATCTTGTGTTGCTGATAGAAAGCGCGTGAAAAATGCAAAGTTTGTGGTCGTTTGATGAGGGTAGCGTTGGAGCGCATCCACCAATTATACTCACCCATCCCGTGAATCTCAGGTGTATTGAAGCAAGAGGTGAGTTGAATTATGGAATTCCGGGTAGACCAATTTCTTATTCCGACCAACTAGAATAAAGCGAAAAACATGATCCTGCCCCCCCATTAAGGTAAGCTATTCAGTATCATTCTGGAAAAAATAACATCAAGATTAGACACTAATGCCTCATTGTCGTATAACCATGATTTATTAGAAAGACTCACTGTGAAGAAAAGAATAAAAGCAGAGGTAGATGGGGTTTGATGCGAGCGTTGTAATTATTTTCAGACACTGATTCGAGCAATCTGGATAGAAGCTGACAAAAACTC